CATTTGATTAGTATATGCTACATGAATGTTGTCATTTTTGTCTTGAACCGTTATTGATTGACTTGTAGATGCTTCATTGTTTAAGTCTGTATTATTAATTGTTTTTTATGGATCATCCCACCTTTTAAGACTTAATGGATCAAACTGAGTTCTATCAATTACTGAGTTATTAAAAGGAAATATTCCTGCCTTTTTAAAACCATTGATAATTATGCTTTTGTCCAACTGAAGCCAAATTTCACGTACTATTTTTAATAGTTCTTGTCTAGGTAGTTTTTGTTGTTTATGGTTTCTAATCCATGTACACAAACGTTGATCATATGTAGTTTTAATAGATTTAAATACAGACATAGGTTGTAGCAAATGACTTGAGTGAGGTGGAAGTAATAATATAGTCATATTATTTTCTCTTGCTATTTCTACCAGTTGTAAATTAATATGCGAAGAGTGTCCATCATAAACCAACACAATTTGATTTTGTGGACTTGGGCTTGTAGTTTTTATAAAACTTTTTTAAAAATAATTAGTGAAAACTTCTTTCTCCATCCAACCATTATTTGTGGCAGCATAAGTTGTACCAGGAAACAAAGATTCACTACCAATCCATTTATCCCATATTTTTTTACCTTTGTAGATAATTAATGGGGGTCCTTTTTCACTTGCAGCGCTACATGCCATTAATACTGAAGTATTTTCTCTGGTATTTCTCTGGTATTTCTCTAGTATTTCTCCAAAAAATTCTCTCGGCTTCAGCATTAGAATGGGATAAGCATTTATCATATCTATCGTATCACCGCACTTTGATACAGCAGCTATCATATTCTTTTCATCCTCATCACTAAATATTGACTGTCCTCCAGGTGTTTCGCCATGTTTTCCAGTAAAACGGTTGTGTAACGTGTTCCATACGGAATTTTATATATTTTACTAGCCTTTAAAATTGAAAGTTCACCATCAACAACTTTTTTAAGAGCTTCTTCCAAAACTTCATCTCTTATATTGGCATATGGGCGACTGCCAACTTTTTTTTGTATACACGAACCACTAAAATAATTGAAATAATGTAATAAATACATAAATAATATTATCAAAGTCACCCCAACACTACTATCAATTTCACCCCTCGATAAGAAACGCTATATTGCTTACAACAATAAATGAAAATATCATGACACAGTATGATTTGAATCATCATGATATGTATTTATAATATAACTTATAAAATTATAAATAAATAACATTTTTACTTACTTTGCGCAGCTAATTCTAAAACGTTATTTTACATTTAAAATAACGTTGAGATTGAAGACAACACACGTTTCAAATAATTGATAATAAATCAGATCATAACCGTTATCGTTATAAGACTATATTTCCTTATCAATATATACAAAAATAATCAATTTTTTCCGTGCAGTGTAGCCATAGTGTATAATTTAATGAAATAAAAAAACATTATCAAAGTCATTATCAATGTCACGCCAATTTACGGTAATTATACTTATGGTATTCGGGAAATCGTTACTTCAAATGAACTAAAAATGTTATCAAAACGTGGTTTGGGGGAGTAACCTCTGTATCGAGAATTAAGTTGTTCGTAACATCATGTATGTAATTGGTTATTAATATCGATTTATATCATAATTTGTTAAGAATTATAATCAATTCGTCAACTTACCCGATTCTTTAACATACCAGACTCCCCTAATAATTCTATAGCGATTTTATTTATACGTTTTTATTGCTTTATTTTTCACGCACTTACAACGTATAAATTGCCAGGATTTATATATTAAAAGGGTAGGAAAAATCGGTGTAAAATGTATTTTGAAGTACATTGATCACATTTAACCACTACCCTTGCTTGCATACTCGTCTTGCTCTTTCATTAATTTAGTAAATGCCTCTTCAACAATTTCCTGTACTCCAGTTACACAGAAAACCGCCTTGTCCTGAAGTTTTAAAAGCACGGTTTTCCGACGAATATTCAACATTTGTTATATTATATGTCGCTTCAAGCTTTAAATTGAACTTGATTGGATTTTGACTTGCAATTGATTTTAGTAAATTGACTAGTTCGGATTTGATCGAATCGAGGAAGTTTATATAGTTTTGAATATTATTGGTGTTTTTTACGTAATACCAGGTGATAGTATTGTTTTCCGATGTAGATATTGGTTGAAATCCGGGGGACTTCCGAGATTCGAACGTAATTTTTTTGCCCTAACTGCTGATCTAGTGTTGGCACTGGAAACACGTTTTCCATTATCAAGCGTAGTGTATGAATCTTTAAAAAAAAAAACCTAATTAGTCTATGCGGTGGTTATAAAAATTAAATGACAGTAGAATATATATGCTGATCCTGACACCGCACCCGCGACCTCTATATATTAACTGAAAAAATATATAGTATTGTGTATGATGTTCAGTAATTGTTCTAATCAATGGAAATAAGTCTTGAAATGATATCTGTACCTACAAGTTTTAAGTGGTTAGTAAATCTATTCATTTTAATTAATATTTTTCTATGTTTAAACTTACTATGAATTCATCTATAGGAATTGAATTGTCTGTGAAATTATCGACCATTATTACGCCCAACACATTAAACTCTAAACGTAAATCTCGGGGAACTTATGCCGCACGTGTTGCCCATTCATTGAATCCTGTGTTACGGTCTCGCACCACCAAATATACCTCATAAAGGTCACGTAACGAAATCGAATTAATTTCACTCTCGCACGGCATACAAATCGTCACCGTATTGTCATTACCTGCCACCGTATTGTCATTACCTACCATCACTTACAGGACAATTATTAAATGATAAAATAGACGTCTGTTCACACGCTTGGCGAAAATTATAAAATAATCAATAAATTACCAATATACCTGTTCAGTATCTCCACTTAAGGGACATTTTTTTGCCCTAACTGCTGATCTAGTGTTGGCACTGGAAACATGTTTTCCATTATCAAGCATAGTGTATGAATTTTTTTTAAAAAAAAAACCTAATTAGTCTATGCGGTGGTTATAAAAATTAAATGACTAACCTTCCTTTTCACAGTATCCAAGATCCTCGATAATATCTGCGACTTGAGCGTAATCTCCATCATCATCCATGTCGCTGTAAAATGTATTTTGAAGTACATTGATCACATTTAAACAATTTTAAATGTATTTTTCGGTGAGCAGCCAGATTGGTCTTGTATACGAATTCCAAATCACATTGATCGCATTTAAACATTTTTAAATTATCGCGGAGCGAACGTTATAACACAACAACAGTGTGGAATGTACTAACTGACCATCCCTAATATGCACGTAATAAGACGACATTCACCCGCCACCGCTCACCCCATCATGCTGACAATCCTCACCATAGGTGACGTATAACAACAGATTTTATCCAGACCTTTTTTCACTAAGTAATATAATATAATATAATATTTAAAAACTAAACTATATGTATATAGGATATTTAAAACTAAAATACATACAGAATATTACCAAGTCTCCTCCTCAGCAGATAGTCGTTCACGAACGCGGTCTGGTCTATATTTATCTCCGAAAGTATACGTTCGATCATTATATAATTCACTAACTCTTGTATCATCAATTTCAACACCTAACTGGAATAAAACATTTTTCTGATTTTTTGTTTCAGTACCTAGTTTATTATGTAAATCTAAATATTCTAAATATTTTAAATCCGAACGATCACATGACTTGAGGAAAATTTTGAACGTTAGATTCTGCCAATAATTTCCTCCTATCTGAACGTTCTTCAATTCTAGGTCCTCGTAATGTAAACGTTTAGATTTAAAAGTTTTAGAAGCTAGATTATTAAAATATCTGGGTCCTGAAACATTATCAAAAACCAGACTATAACACGCCAAATCACAGACCCCTATCACATCATAATTGATAAACAAGCTGGT